CCCCACCCTCTTTGCCTCGCCGCAGCGAGCTCCGCCTGTTCGGAATTCAGCACCGAACCCAAATGATGGTGGAAGGATAATCAACTGTCCGGCCGGCTTCCGCCTGTTCTCAAACGCAGCCGCTACGCAGGCAGTTACTTACCCCGCCCGCGCCTTTTGCGCTGACCGGTAACACTCGCAGCACTTCGGCTGCCCCCGTCACTCCGGTTAGCTTTGCGTTAACCACACAAAATGGCGCCCGCTGTCATTCACCCGGAACAGCAGGCTTACGTCACTGCAACCCGGCGGAGAAAAGTCTATCCGCCATCTTAAGTTAGGGCGGAGGCGTTTGACCGACAGACATCTGGAGGGGGTTCCAACTGCCCCACTAAGGTTGGCAGCAGCTGATGGGAGTGATAATACAAACGTCTGGGAAACTTACTCGGTCATGGCTCTAGAATCTCCAAGGGTTAGAAAGAAAAGTCTTTTTCAATTGACAGTTTTATGATAACTAATTTTTTTGTTCGCCAACAAGCGAAAGTTTCGCGCAAGCGCCTGGCTGAAAGTGTTCTGTGCGCGCCATTTTTATCGAGGACGTGGAGCCGCTTATTGACGTATGCATAATGCTTCAGCGGTTCAGCCGGTACCTTCGAAATTTCGCTTGCTTGTTTGATTCCGATCTGGACTACAGTCTTCCGCGCTTTTAAAAAGAGTTAAATACCGGCAGCAAGAACCTGTACATCCGTTATATAGCAGCAGAGAGACACGTTTTTGTTGCCATCGTCTGGTCGTCCGAATTTTAGCACATTTCCTGGATGCCACTAGGTGATGCTGTTTCATGGAATGGACCCAGAGCATGCCCCTCTGCCAGGACGAAGAGAAATAATTGGAGAAAAGTTGTCCTGTAATAATTTGGCATTGTACTACAAGCAGCTTTTTAAACGGCAACCAGCATTTTGAATTACATATGGAAGCTTATAAGCTACTAGTCAGAGGTGATATTCAGCAGGTTCTGACCACTTCTGGAGAACCGGTAGCGGAAATTTTGAGTAGTTCATAGAACCAGCAAATACTATCTCTGTCTGGAGATTTTACAGTATCCTTCCCCCGCCATGCCCACCAAGCCACACTCCAGAACCAGTAGTAAAAAAATTTTAATCCCACCACTGCTACTAGTAAAGTGCTGCTACATGGGTGCACCAAAGTGCTTTCATAACTACTGACTATTTCAGATCAATTGCAGCTTCTACATGGTTTTTCAAGGTTAATCTAATATACAGTATAATCCTGCCAGGGGGTTAATGCAGATGGATGACTTCACCTGGAGAGTTTGTGTAGGTATTCAATAGTAGTTCAGAAACTGTAGGGGCCTGAGAAACCCCACAGAATAGATGCTTGGAACACATTTTCTCCTTTATCTACCAGCACTAACTGGAAATGCCCTGGAAGAAAGGAAAACCACTACACCATGCCTCCCATTCCTAATCTGTAGAACTAGTCCAGAGGTATATAGTGATTGTATCAAAGATGGATGAGAAATCAAGGAAGGCCAGGATGGATTGTACCACCTTATCCCAATCCTACCACAGGCCTTCTATAACTACAATCAATGCTATCCAGATAATCCATTTCATCCATAGCCCCCTGTAACTACAGCTAATCAATTTCCCTCAAACTTCCATTTTCTTGGGACTAACAGTTATCATCCCGGATAGCTATGTCAGTCACCTCCAAGAGACATCCACAGCAAATCTGAATGATTTTATCCAACAGACACCTAGATTAGTTTTTATGGCAGCCCTGTAGATCTTCCTCCATTCTCTACTTCCCAAGAGGGATTGTGTTACTCTAATGTCTATCTCCAGATGGAATCAGAATAGAAAAACTACATTTTGCTGTTCTATAACCATGAGGTAGTCTTATCTGTGTTAAAACTGATTCACTTGTTTTCCATCAATGGCTCTGTGGGATCTACAGAGGTCACACAAGCACAATTTTATTAAAGTCCTTGGCTGCTCTTTCATTCCAGATAGCAACAAAGGCCTCAGATGAACCCAATCCAAGCTTCTTTTAAACCTGTAGAGATTATCAGGTGCCTGAGACAGACAAATTTAACGGGCCTTGTGCCAAGCAGTGCTTGAGCGGAACTCTAAAATAAATTATCTGACCACCAGAATGAATTGTTTTCATTTCCCAATTCCAGTTCATAGCACTGTGCCCCGAAACAGGTTTACATAAGAAGGGTTTCCTTCACTGACAGGTCCCTTGGTAAGCCTTTCCCAGATATTATTGGATGGTAGTTTTGTTATGTGAATAAACTATGTGTGCGTGTGTGCATGTTGAGTCTGGTCTCTTGTTATGTGAATTTTGTTATATGTATACTGTGTATAAACGTACAATGACAATGAAGAATTCAATTCAATGTGGGTTGCTGCATTCTGCAAAAGCTGAAGTTTCAACAGGGACTTTAAGGATAGTTCCATGTGGAGTGCACTGTAGTGCTTTAGCTCCAAGATGACAAGAAATGGGTGACTACAATTCTTAACTCCAACAGGACCAGATAATCTGCATCCTCCAGAATTTTTTGAAACTGCAGGTCTGCCATGTTTTTTTCAATAACCTTTTTAAAAATAGAAGGTTGGATACTGGATTAAAATTGTCCACACAGCTGGGTCCAAGCAATGACTTTTTCAGGCAAATAGAATCACCACTTATAGAGAGGCATTTACCTCTAGCTGAATCCAGCTACATATTACCTACCAGGACCCCCTAACCAGCTAAGAAGAGCATGTATCTTATACAGCAAATTGGTGATATTTCATCCCATGCTGGCAATGATCTCTCCCAGTGACTTCATATGGCTGTTAAATAGTAATGGGGAGAGGAACAAGCTCCGGGACACTATAATGAAATGGGCAAGGGCTCCATCTCTTCCCCGACCATCACTGAGTGAAACCAGGAGATTCCCTGAGGAACAGTGCCCTCTATTTCCAATCCTTACAGCGGGTTTAGTATACCATAGTCAATGGTGCTGAAGAACATTGAGAAATTCAGCAGGATAACACTCATAACATTTTGCCCCCTCATACTGCTTAAAAACAAACAGAAAATAAAACACTATTCTATAATAGTTATCTCTGATTCATAACACTGGATCTAGAACTGACAAATGCAGATTTTTTTATTTTAGCAGCCATAAGTTCAACAAGCCTGCTGCATTAAATGTACAAGAATTTGAAAGCACCTCCTCTCCCAAAATAAGTAGAGACATATTCCGTACTCCCACTAGCAGAAGTTACTTCTACTAAATTTTTACTATTTTTCATTTGTAAAATAATACTTACTGTTCAACAGAGTCCTCTACTCTCAAAAAGGGTTTTGGAGGATGATGGGATGACTAGCAATAGCACTTAGACTTATATACCGCTTCACAGTGCTTTACAGCCCTTTCTAAGTGGTTTATAGTGTCAGCATATTGCTCCCAACAATCTGGGTCCTCATTTTGCCAATCTCGGAAGGATGGAAGGCTGAGACAACCTTGAGCCAGTCAGGATCAAACTCCTGGCAATGAGCAGTGAGTTAGCCTGCAGTACTGCATTCTAACCACTGCGCCACCACAGTTCAGGTGACTGTCATCAATCCTCTTCAATATGGACACAAACCTTATGTCTGTACCAAGTGGCATAGTTACAAAACTTATAACCAAATTCTAAACCATACAGTCATATTTTACACATTAAAAGCCACACTTAATGTGAAGCTAATTGTACAGTTACTCAATATATAAAAATAAAACAGTGTATTGATATTCCCAACAAAGACCTGAAAGCTAATTCTATTTAAGTCATCTTAAATCACATACATTTGGACACCCTAACACAATCACCCTAACCAGGTCACAAATAACCATTTATATAATACAGTGTCCCATATACTTTCTCCAGGAAATATATAGTACATCAGGAATTTTATCCAAATATCATTATATCATTAGCCTCTTCCCCAGGGAATAGGCTGGCTTGAACCATGCCACTAAACAGTGTTTGGTACATAATGTGTCCTTGAGCCTTAAAAATTAGTTCTGTCATTGAGAAGCTTGCTTTTTTTATTTACTCTTTTTCTTTTGGTCTTTTTCTTCTCAAGTATTAAGTAGATAAGTCTTTATATATCCCCACAATATGATTGGGTAAAGTTAAATTAACTTTTCCTTGTTGGAGTTCCTAGTTTAATTCTCTTCTTGACCTATTTAACATTATTATAAAAACAGGGCCACAACAGCATGCATTAAATAGTAAAAACGTATGTACAGTACACATACTTGTGCTTCTGAGACTGTTCTGCATAACATTGTTTTTCAATGTTCAGAGAAAGTAATTGTTCTCTAGAACATGCATTTATTTGTCAATATATTTATATGGAGAATATCCAATTGTTCTGAAAAGGTATGGCTTGATCCAGCTTCACAGTGCAAGTAAGGTGGATTCAGAGGTGGTTTGGGGGTTCACTAAATTTGAAAGCCAGCACATCACAGGAAGATGTCTGTTCAGCTTGCTTTCTAATAGAGTTTTCATCTATAACATCATCAGATTTCAAGGCATATTCAAATAAAGAAAAGCATCCCGGAATAAAATCAGGGCTAGATGCACTCCCTCATTCCCTTAGAACACACAATATAGTATTCTAGTTTTGTAGAATGAACCGGTTTTCTGAAACAAAACTACTTTCCATTTGTGGAACATATTAATTTTATACGAATTTTTCCTTTCAAGAATAATCGAGTGCCAAATATTTTACAAAAACATGCTTTGGTGTCCATAAACAGCTTTTTCTTCACAGAGGAAAAATCAGGTTGTCAGTCTTATCAAGATTGTTCCGGCAATTCACTTTTGAAAAAGCACATGATTTTAACTGGCCCATATTGAAACATTACTATTTCGTTTTATGTATTATTTCACATTACAGCTTAGGAGTTCAAAATCAATGTCTGCTTGGATTCAGAAACACACACATACACACCCATGTCCTTGCAATTACATATGATTTTTTTAATTAATTTCCATTTCAATGCAGTCTGTGTCCTCAACTCTTCATAAAAGCATATGATGGATATGGGTTCTTTTAAAACAGCAACTGAACAACAATGTTAGCCACTCTACTGTATTTTTGTATGCATGAAAAAAAGGGGAAACAATGCATGTGTAAGCTGTTCTGTATCCAAGCCATGATGTACAGAGTCTGAAACCAGGGTATATTTTCTATTAAAGAAGAACAGATAAAGGCACAATATTTACATATACTGTAATTTTCTGTGCACTTAAACAAGTTAAATAACACCAATTGCTTCTCTGTTTTCCATACAGAACATGGCTACAGAATTCTTTCATAGAAAAGCAAATAGGCTTGTGAATTTAATACTCTTGATTCTGGGACTGCTTGTACATAGGTATCACTGACATAAACCCATTGTCCTACAGCTGATCCTGGAGTTTCTTTTAAACCTGCAATGCAAACAAACACACACATCAGTATTCATTAGCTGTAATCAACAAATAAGAGAAGGTACAATCAAGCTAAGCAAACGATTAGGACTCAAATGCAAGTATCTCAGTCTAAAACATTTACAACTTTGTTATTAGGATCTTGGCTCTGCTCTTTTGAAAGCTTTAATGAAAGTTGTGAGAGTTCCTTGAGAAAGATCTTATGAAACAAGGAAGCCACTTACAGTAGAAATACCCAAATTGTGGATTGGAACAAGCAAGAGTATTTGAAAGAGACTAAAGTGGTTTTTGTAATAATGAGGCTACTTCTATCATTCTCTGCTTGAGCAAGGAGGCAATAGCTTCAAGGCTGAGGGAAAAATGATATTGTATACCAAATCCAGATTATTAAAAAAAAGTACATTTTTCTAATATATGGGCCTCTCCACCTCATGCCAAAATTAAAATCATTTTAACTGATACAACCCATGTAATGTAAAGGAAACAGTTTTCTGCAATTATTAGCATTTGTAACATTTTTTTGGGGGGGGGGGGAGCACTACACAAATGAAAATATAATAAAGATTATGTCTTGGTCCTTCTTTCATTGGGAAAAAATGGGCTTGATGTCATAAAGAACGCTTAGCTGTATGTTTTTCATGAACTTTTAAAGCAGAGTGATGTTTATACACACGCGCGCACACACACACACACACACACACACACACTCACACAGGTAATCCTTGACATACAACCATTCATTGGATGACCATTCAGAATTACTGAACATGGCACTGAAAATAATAAGTAGAAGCAGTCCTTGCACTTATGGCCATAGCAGCATACGTTGGTCACCTAACCAAAATTCAGGCACTTGTCAACCAACATGCATTTATGACGGTTGTCATGTCCTGGAGTCATGTGATCGCTATTTCCAACTTTCCTAGCTGGCTTCCAACAAGCGAAGTCAATGCAAGAAGTCAGATTCGCTTAACGACCACGATTCACTTAACTGGAGCACAATAGGTCATAAAATTGGGTCCCACTCACTTAAGAACTGCCTTGCTTAGCAATAGAAATTCTGATCCCAATTGGGATCGTAAGTTCAGGATTACTTGCATACACAGCACAGGTGGGGGGTTTTTTCCCCTCCATCTAATCACAGAGTTTTATTTAGATACCTACCTTGAATGTTTTTATTGCTAGAGTTGTGCTCCAAATGTTTTTTGGGCGATGATCGGATTTTTACATAAGCCGCATAATGACCTCCCCGCATGGAGCCATTATGCTCTACTATCCCATAAAGCGCATAGAGGACCTTCCCGCCATCAGTCACATTCTAGGAAAGGAAGGAAAGAAGTGAGGGCCATGGAGTATGGACTTTGTAATACTTTCAGTATGGGTTTTTGTAATTCTGATGCACTGGCTAACTAACAGTTTTTCTTATATTTTAATTTGGCTTATTTGTCTCTTTCTCTTTTAAATGCATTGTTAATAATTAGCCCTAAGTCTAACCCAGCAAATTGTAGAAACTACAACTGACCAACTGTTTGATAGATGTTAAATAAATGCAATTTTATTAAAAGAAGACAGTCAGTTTTTTCTAATTTCAGGTAGCAAAGGGTATTTTCAGCTATTACTAAAGCTTGGTTTAACAGAATGATCTTGTGTTGTACAAGAATCTGACTGAAATGTTTGACTAAAAATGTTTGACATCTGTAAGAAGAAAGTGTCTTCAATTTTCAACTGAAACATCACCAATTTTGCTTCAAATGCAACTTACATTATGCTTTTATGTCTTACCTTGCAAAAGGCAGAACAAAACGGAGCCAAGTCCAAAACAAGTGGAAAATCTACATGTCGATTTACTTTGCGTACGCTCATGCCAGCCTTAAAAAGAAATTTGTAGAATTTGAATTTAATGCATAAATATTTGAAATGTTTTGAAATTTGAAATAAATAAATTAGTAGCTACTATGAGCGATCTACAAAACAAATGATCTTATATAGAGCTACAATATACAACCTAAAATATCACCTTGCCTTGTATCACTCCAGTCGAGGAAAAATTAAACATAGAATATGTAGGAATCAAGAGCAAAACCTGAACCTGAATGTCATGCTATATTTGAAGCATGTTATTAAGCTAGGAATCAAATAGTGTTAAAACAAAACTTGACCCATTTTTGAAAACTTCCGGTTTGTCGGCTTCGCGAGCGGTAGGGATTTGCGAAGCTGCGCGATCCCTGCCGCGCTAGCCGTTTTTGGGGCTCCGATCCGGACGGGTACGGAGCTAGGCTGCCCTGCAGGGGCAGCTGAAGGTAGGGGGGATCCGGAGAGGGGTTTGGGGGTGTTGCAGACCCCCTCCCCGGCCGGCAGAACCCCCTTTTCCCAGGACGGTGCAGCGGCGGTCCATAATGGCCGCCACAAAGAAGCTGGCAGCCGGGTAAGAATGCGCAGGAGGAAGTGGAGAAAGTGTTCGATAGGAGAAAGTTTTTCTTGGTTCCTAGGACTCTAAGACATCTAAAATTCCTGAAAAGTATGACTTTCTGAATGATACCTTCGAGAAGAGGGAAAAAGCGGCAGTTTGATGGTGCTGAAGGGAAAGCTTACCCTCTTTTCCTACGGAATAAAAAGTGAATATTAAGAAACCTATTTTTTTTAGGTGAAAACTGGCTTTGAGCGATGAGTGGGAAAAGAGGACTAAAAAAAAATATATATTTGTATGCTAAGACTTTGTTGGAGGAGATGCCTTAAGGATTGAAAGACTAAAATATATTGCAATAAGATTTTAAGAAACAGATTTGGACTTTCTTTTTCTCTGATTGATACTACCCTAGGAGGAGAAAGTGAGAACTCTGCCTTGGTTTGGATTGATTGATAACTTTGGGACTGTTTTATCTTTTCTTTGGAATATTCTGGTTGTTGTAAGAAGAAAGAAGGGGAAAAGAAAAGAAAAGATTTATAATGGCTCTTTCTATTGAGGAACTGAGAAAAGATTATGAACAAGCAAAAAAAAATGGTAAAGCTGGTTTGAAAGAAGCCTTCCTTTTTTTAGAAATGGCGCTTATTAACTATCAACAAACATTACAACAGATGAAGACAGCAGAAGAAGAAGAAGGAGAGGAAGCCATCTTTAATAAATCTCAGAACTCGACCAAGAAAGAAGGAAGAGGGAAAGGAAGAGAAATAAAGGACTTAAGAATTAAAAAAACATTTAAGAAAGGGAAAAATAAGGTGCAAAATCAATATAAGGATAGTAAACAAAAGGGAAAAGGAATACGACAGAGAAGGGAAGCCAGTAAGGCAGAGGCTAGAAGAAGGGGGGGTAGAAAGGTTTGTTGGGAGAAGAAAGAAAGGGAAAAGGTGGAGAAAAGCTACAAAGTTTTGAAATTAAATGGGAAAAAAGGAATCTTTTTTAGGGATAAAGGATAAAGTATAATTTCTTCAAAGAGATTTTGCAAGGTACATAAGATGATATTATAGTATTGTATTAGAAATAGAAAACTTAAATGGCTTAAGAGTTGATAAGAGATTAAAATGTTGAAATGTTAATAATGATTGGTTTTAAAATTTAGTAATATGAGGGGAGGTTTAGAATATTGAGTTTTAATTAAAGAGTTTAATAAGATTATGGTATTGATGTTATTATAAAATTTTTATTATAGTATTTGTTTTTAATATTTAGATCTATTGTTTAACTATGTATTTAATTATTCTGGATGTATTATTCAGATAGAATGTACCAAGCAAAATCGGATTGGGTATTGGGTGGTATTTTAAAGATTAACTTGATTAATTTAGTGGGGAGATAGAAAGGCATCATACTCTGATTAGTGATTTCAGGAGAAATTTCTTTTTTTTTTATAAGGAATGAGACAAAGGTACAATAAAGAATGGACAAAATATACAAATATAATGACTCAAATTAAGATGATTAATTAAGATAGAATTAAGAAGAGTGAAATATGTGGAGAAGTTAATATAGAAGACTTAGAATGGTAAATAAAATAAGTAATGATATGTAAGATGAGCATGAATACAGTTGAAGTCCATGAAGAGAGAGATACCTGGGTCCAAGTTACTTTCCAAAAAGATTTTTTTTATGTTTTGTGTGTTGTGTATATATGTGTTTTTTTTTTTGGGGGGGGAGAATTAATAAAACCTTGCAGAAATATAGAATGAGAATAATGGTAATTAAGTCAGAAAGAAATAGATGAAATAATAATAATAAAATTGAATAAGAGTAAAGAGAAATAAAGAGAAATTGGATAAGAGGTTTTTGTATGTTTATATGGAAATGGTTTAAAACAGAATTATAGTTCATCTGACTTGTTAAATTTATAATGTAAAAAGGTTTAAATATGTAATGGATAATGATGACTTGTGTGTTTTGAAAATTAATAAAACTTGTTTTTTTTTAAAAAAAAAACTTGACCCATTTTTTTTCTTTTAACAGATATACTGTATTACTTTGCAAAAGTATTGGAAAAACAACAAATTCTAAATATAACCTATAGATATAGAAAAAGACTGTGAATTGTAGTCATATATACTGTGTGTCTGTCTCTCTGTGTGTGTGCATGTGTGTATACATGACTACAACTCAGATTCCCTTTTTCTAGTCTGTTACCTTAACCTTAGAATGTGCTGAGCTAACAACAGATACTTAGAATAAGAAAAGGGGGTTTTACAGATTAAAAAAAAAACGAAGACCACTTTGTTTTTGCAAATCTTCTACCACTTCTAGACAACTTCTGAAAATGAACCAAAGCTCTAATAAAAATTCCTCTCTGTCGGTATTAACTTTTAGGGAGAAAAGAAATCATCTGTTTCAAGGCATTACCTGATGAAATCTTTTCAGATGGAGGATCAGAACAGCAGGAACCAATGAAATCAGGAGCTGCTTCCTAGCATTTGTATAGACACCTTCTGTCTTCTTATCTATAAAAAAATGCACACCATTTATAGGGGAAATGTTTTGAAAATACATGAAAAATACATTATTTATAAGGCAGAGTACAGAGACAGAGAAATAGAGACAGAGATGATAGAGATAGAAACTGATGTTCTAATAATATATCCTGGTGGTCAATAATAACACAAGCTTCTGAAAGAACCAGTAGCATTAACAAGGGCTTTCCTTGTCATTCAGTATGTAGAGGCCAACCAAAGGGCAACTCCATGGCTAAACCCAAACTCAGAATGATCAAGATATCCATTCTGTTTTTTAAAAAACCTTCAAAAGTGTACTACCACTACTTCCCCATCAGCTTAGCTGAGTGTGGAATACTGGATATCACCCAACAGTTATTAAAACTGACCAAACTACACCTCTTTAAGCAACAGCCTCACTCTTTCCTTCTAGCTGCAAGAAGGAAACAACAATCTGATCGTTGGCAGGAGGGCTTTTTACAGGACCCTCAAAGCCAATTTGAGAAGAGATCCAACTGGCTCCAACAGATTCAAGAATATTCCCTTATTCTTCAGAAGATAAACTACAAAGCTGTCTCCAAAAGGATGGTACTGGACACTCTTGGTTCAAAGTGACATCCAAGCCAGCAATGAACCTGAACAATCTTACCTGCAAAGAATCAATGAACAGTTAACTTCTTGGGGAAATTTACACAAGGCCTTTGAATAAAGCAGACAGTATAGAATATGGGAAGGGCGCTGATTTCCAAAACACATAAATACCACTCTTGAATTAGCATGTCCTTGAATCAGAAAGATTTTTTATTACCAGCTACCTGTGGAATTTGCTTTTTTCTGGCGTTTGTGCTTCTGATCTGTACAGTTTTCACACAGCAGCTTATTGTTTCCCATTAGCAGCTCCACGGAGGTAAACTGATACAGGCATGATTGAACCGAACATTCCTTAGAACTTGTTATGTAACTCTGAGAAAGAGTCTGGAAAGCATTTTGAGGGTTTTGCATCTCTGTTGAAAAGGCAGTGTTCTTCGGCATGCTTGAAAGAGTGTTGAGAGGCCCTTCACTCTCAATGGCTGTGTTTCCAAAGTGAAATTTCGACAAGGCACTAGTAAGTGCCTCCATACTGCTATTGTTTGATTTGCTATATTGTGTTTTAGTATTTGGAGGTAAGTGTCTGTGTCCATCTGTGCATAAATCAGGGGAGGGACAAGTTTTATTGGCCGTAATTTGCTTAGAAGCGCTTTCACTTTCAGAAGCCTCACTATCAGCATCAATGCTACTTTCAGAATGGCTGACTTCTTTCTCACTGCCTTCAGTCTGACTTCCATTTCCTGGAGAGTCCAAAATAGCACCGCTGTCTCTTGTGCATGACGTATTGGCTCTGTCTTCTATTGTAGAGTTTCTGATTTTTCCAGGCAGAATAAAAGGGCTTGTTTCTTCTTCACCAGATTTGTTGGCAAGTCGTCTTTCATGGTTTACCTGGTTCTGCCAGTTGCCATGTCATCATCAAAGTATTAAAGGAAAAAGAAAAAAACACACATTATTCAAATCCCATTGATGCAAACACAATCTTACTTTCTTTATACATGCATAAATATGTAAGTATATGTACAAACTGGCTCTACTATATGGTTAGATTTTGGAGTTCAGCCTGGTAGTCTAAGCAAGGATGTTACCAAGTGGTTGGGAAGAAGAACTTGGGCATTTGCTCTCTGTTCTTGGAAAACTTGAAATCCTACCCATTTTATAAAAATGCATATTTTATATTGTGCATTAATTAAATTTCTGGCTCATTCAGATTTATCTTCTTGTTGTTGTTGTTGTGCCATATCCCTCATTGGTTGTTGGCGATCATGTTGGCAAATCCTATTTTTATCAACAGCCACACAAAAAAGTGCTGTTGAGTTTTGTCCAAACCAACCCCTTAGATTTTGAAGCATTGATGTTCTTCTTCTCCTTGTTTGCCTTCAATCTTTCCCTGGAGGATTAAATGAAGTATGCCGTATTTTTCTGGGTCTTGCATCATATGTCCAAAATATTCTAACTTTTGCTATTCAGATTTAGATTAGATATAATTGTTAGCAAGTCAATATGATTTGGTCTCTTCAGCCAATTTTTGTTTTATTATTTGTAAAATCTGTGGTAACTAAACATACTGATTATTTAAGTTATTGTTTGTTTTCATTTATTTTTACATTTCACATGTTTTAATTTATTTTCTGGTAAGTGGAATTCTGGTCATTGGCCATAATAAAAGACTGGCTGACTTTTTCTCATATTCAAGCTAGTTTTTATTCACTGATGTCCAACTGAAATTTTATCTTACAAAAATTTTGTAAAACTGTTAAATATTTGAAGGGATCAAGAAGCCTGAATAAGAAACTATCCAAATAAAAGGAAATCTACATAATTATGAGGTGACAGAAATTTACACAAGGCATTTACACACATACAAAAACTATTTAGTTTTAGTCTTTGAGTAAATATTTTAAATTAATACATTATTTTAAATTGATAAAGCCTCTTGAACTTATTAGAATTTGCCAATCTCATATGTTTATAATTGTTGCTGCCATTTATAACTAATATTCCTGAACATGGAAAATAAAATTTGGTAATAATAGACAAATTGCTTTTGAATTTATTGAAGTTCTTTTCAAAAGATTTTAAATGATATTATTTAAGAAATCATTTTTCACCAAAGTTTCCAAATCAAATTTGAATGTTTGCCTTCAAGTAGTATATTTTAAATCTATCATTTTAAGGTGTCTTCAGCCTCTCCATACTTATATACAATCTTATATATATTTCAGTCACAATCATTTATTTTATTAAAATCTTTCAATTAATCAATGCAGTACTAAGTTTTCTGAAAAAAAGTGATTAAAGTACATTCAAACACTTGTGACCTAAAATTGGAAGTTAAAAATATGTGATCAGGGTTTTTAAAAAGAACAATGAAATTTATGTGAGGAACATTTGAATTCATGTTACAATTGTCCATGCTGGCTTATTCTTACCTTATCCTTTGTTAATGAACACTTTCTAGATAATTTTGATTGCTGATTAGTCAGAGCAGATATGGAAGAACAGCTGAATCGACCAGTATCTGCTCCTTGTATCTGTTTACCTTTGCTTGTCCTTCCAAAACAAACAGGTTTTGAAGTCTAGAAAAATCAACATGGGTTACTAGGGCGTAGCAAATTATCTAAGATATTATTTAATTAGAATTGATTTTCATACCTACCAATAATTAAAAATCATAATAGCTGCGTTTATACAGTAATCTAGTCTAAATCAAAACTAAACCAGATTTAAAGCGATATATGGCACCAACTATAATTTAATCCTAAATTGGCTGAGTTCTTTATATCAATTGGCACAAAGAAAACTTCTGACAATTAAAATGAAGGCTTTATTCAATAAGAACTTTCTTACCCTTTCCTCTATAATAGGAAGTGAAAGGTCAATGAAGGGTTCTTTTACTGTGGAAATCTTAGAACAGAAAAAAATGAAAATGGCAAATGAATATACACATCTTGTGGATTCCACCATACAAACAAAGTTATATAGTAAATACATTTTTATTAGGCATGGGAATACTTCACAAAAATGGAAAAACTGGGATTTGAAGGTGAAAAAAAAATCCCCACTGTACAGGTATCCTTATTTAATGACCACAATTGGAACTGGCACTCTGTTGCTAAGCAATGCAATCATTAAGTGAGATATCACATGAACATAAATGGGCTTACAGCCATATTTGCACTGTGGTTGTTAAGCAAATGATATCTGGACATCACATGATCGCAGCTTGCAGTTTTACTGCCAGCTTCTCCATTGACTTGGCTTGTTGGAAGCCAACTGTGAGCCAAGCAAACAGTAATCACATGACAATGGGACACTGCGACAGATTCTACTCTGTGTGCTTTGCTATTTAATAATTTTATAAAACATGTAACTATGTATGCAAGAACAGCTTTCATTCATTTTATACAAATAAAACACATTAAAATGCAGTGGTGGTATCATAAAATGCAGTATCCTATTACAACAGAGAACAGAGATTCCTTTAGAACATTCTGTTGAATTCTACAAGCCAGAACACATACTTTTACTACTATATAGATGGTTTCAGATTGTTGTCCTCTCAAAGTAGAGAAAAAGGGCGTTGGTACTTACCTGACACGCCCGTTCTCTTTGAGCTGTGAAGAGCATCCAGTAGTGTGAGGTGCTTCAATCTCTGCATGTCTAGGCTGGCTTAATTTGTGGAACGCTCCTCCTCCTCCACTGGACTTCTCCCCAGCGTTCCCCAGTTTTGGTGAAGACGAGAGAAATAAACGCCCTCATCCTCAATGTCCTAACAAATTTGTTGGCCGAAACAGGACCCCACCAAACGGAAAAAGGGTGGGGCTGGATGCTCTTCACAGCTCAAAGAGAACGGGCGTGTCAGGTAAGTACCAATGCCCTTTCTCCCATGAGCTGTTCAGAGCATCCAGTAGTGGGACATACCAAAGCTTGGCCTGTCCTACGGGAGGGACTCCATCTGGCCTGGAAACCCCTCCTGGTCCCTGTGGACCCATTGCAGAACTCTTCTGCCAAAGGAGGCCTCAGTGGATGCAAACACATCTATTTTATAATGCCTAATGAAGGGCGATGGAGAGGCCCAGGTTGCGGCTCGACAAATTTCAGTTATTGGTGCCAGCGTGGCCCACGCTGCCGATGTTGCGGTGCTACTTGTTGAATGAGCTGTTATGCCCCTGGGCACCTGCAGTGATTGAGTCTGATATGTTTTTGCTATCACAGCCCGTAGCCAACAGCCTATTGTAGAAGATGAGATCTTGCATCCCTGAGTGTTGGGCTGAAACGACACAAATAAGGCTTCCGTTTTTCTGAAAGTTGCTATGCGGTTAATATATATTCGCAATGCTCGCCTCACATCAAGCCTATGCCATTGTAGTTCCAACCCTTGGGATGGTCTGGGGCAAAAATCAGCTCTTGTGCCCTATGAAAAACCAAGTTAATTTTGGGAATAAATGTAGGATCAGGACGAAGGACCACCCTGTCAGAATGGAAAACACAAAGATCTTGTCTGATAGACAAAGCTGCAAGTTCCAAAATACGACGAGCAGAAGTGATCGCTACAAGGAAAACTACTTTATACGTCAGAAATTGGAGACTTGACGATTTCAAGGGTTCGAAAGGGCCCTTAGTGAGTGCGACGAGGACCTTGTTAAGGTCCCAGGTGGGATAATGGTGTACCACTGGAGGGTGTAAATTTGTGGCTCCTCGAAGGAAACTCCGTATGCGTGGATGATGGGAAAGAGATAGTAGACCTTCACAAGTGAGAACTGACGCCAAGGCTGCCACCTGCCTTTTCAACGTATTAGGTGATAATCCCTTATCAAGTCCCTCTTGCAAGAACTCTAGGATTTGAGCCACAGATGGAGAGATGGGATCAATTTGAGACTTGGTACACGGTTTGCAGAAACTGGACCATGTGGCATTGTAAATGCGAGTTGTTGAGGGGTGTCTGGCGGCTTGGATGGTGGCGATAACTCTGTTGGAAAACTTTTCACTCTTCAGACGACTCCGCTCAACCTCCAGATGGTCAGGTGCAACCATTGAGGGTCCGGATGTTGAAGGGGTCCCTGGGTTAGCAAGACCCTGTCTGGCGGAATTCTCCATGGTGTTAATATGGATAGACTGCGGAGGTCTGCAAACCACAGCCGTCTGGGCCAGTAAGGAGCTACTAGAAGCAGCTCCGCCCTCTCGTCTAGCAGTTTCTGGATGACCTTGGGAAGCAGTGGAAGTGGCAGGAATGCATACAGAAGTCCCGGGGGCCAACGACAGCGGAGTGAATTGAAGTTCTCCGCTCCTTGCAAGGGGTACCTGGAAAAAAATCTCGGGAGCTGAGCGTTGAGGGGGGAAGTGAACAGGTCCACCACTGGCTGTCCAAATGTCCTGACCGCCTCTTGAAACAGGGTCGGATGGAGGCGCCACTCCAATTGATCGATCGTGGCCCTGCTTAGCCAGTCTGCCTGTGTATTCGACAAGCCCGAAATGTGCTCTGCTCTGATGGAAAGTAGGTTGCTCTCCGCCCAACGACACAAGCGCTCCGCTTCCCGCATGAGATGTTTCGACTGTGTGCCCCCCTGTTTGTTTATGTGAGCTTTGGCTGTTACGTTGTTGGTCAATATTAGTATGTGCTGATTGCGTACCTGTGGAAGGAAGCTGCGGAGAGTCAGGTGTACTGTTCGAAGCTCCAGCCAGTTTATGCTGCACGACTGTTCTATGGCAGACCAGCGGCCTTGGGCTGTGAGCGATTGAACGTGCGCTCCCCATCCAAACAGGCTGGCATTGGTGGTGATGGTAAGTCTGTGTGGCTCTTTGAAGAGGCAGCCTCTGTTGATGACTGGTCTGGTCCACCAGAGGAGAGATATGAGGACCTTTGATGGTACCTTGACCTTGTATTTGGAGTTGCTTCGGCCGGAGTGCTGGTACAGGAGCAGGAACCACTGGAGGGATCTAGTGTGGAGCTGGGCCCAAGGGATGATAGATATACATGAGATCATCTTGCCTAACAATTTTGATAGTTCTGCTAGGGACACCCTCTTAAGACCCCTGATCTCCTTAACTAATTGCTGAATGCTATTTAGTCTGCTGACAGGTAAACTTTGCCTTCCACCGTATCTATGACTGCCCCCAGATGGGTTAACCGAGTCGATGGTGTTAAATGATCTCTTTTTCCAATTTATTGAGAACCCGTGTTGTTGTGGGGATTGTAATGTGTTCTGAGTATCTCTGACTGCTTGATGATCGGAAGATGACAAAATCAAGATGTCATCAAGATAACACTGGAGTTGTATGGGGATATCACGGAGATGAGCAGCTAGCACTGCGAGAACCTTCGTGAAGGTCCTGGGGGCAGAAGCTAGTCCGAAAGGAAGGGCTACACATTCGAAATGGTGGTTATTATAACAGAATCTCAGAAATTTATAGTGGGAAGGCCGAATAGCAATATGTAGGTACGCCTCCATCAGATCTATGGACGTAAGGACGTCACCCTTTCTGATGCAAAGTAAGATAGATTGCAGGGTGTGCATTTTAAACTTGCGATATACTAAGAAACGGTTGAGACGTTTCAGATCCAATATTGCTCTCCACCCCCCCACCAAACTTTTGGGAACAACAAAAAGGTGTGAATAGAAACCTCACCCTCATTGATTGGTAGTTACTGGTTGGATGGCTCGTATGTCCAGTAGATGATGGATAGCTGTTTCCATAAGATTACGTTTAATCAGATCTCTGGAAACAGGGCATGACATGAAAAAGTCTGGGGGAGTGGATTGAAACTCCAGCGCAAGACCAAATCTGATCATGTCTCTGACCCAGGAATCAGATGTTGAGGAGTCCCATTGGTCCGCGAATAATTTAAGGCATCCACCAATGGGATCCAGGTCCGGGGGAGTTATCTTGGACTCCGGAAAGACCTATTTCCTGCTCCTCGAAAGAATCTCTTGGATTGGCCACCCCTTCTGTTCCTATCCCCGAAGTTGGACCTCTCTGGCTGCCCTGGTCTGAAAGATGGGGGTCTCTGGTATCTGGGTGAGAAGAATCCCTGATAAAAGGGCCGAAAGGATCCCCTCCAAAAGGACTGAGGGTTTCTAGAATCTGACTTCCGAAAAAGGGAAGGTAGAATTTTCTTTTTGTTTCGGGTTTCAATTATCAGCGGGTCGAGGGCAGGGCCAAAGAGTCTGTCTCCCACAATAGGAGATGAAGCCAGCGTGCATTTGTACTTAATGTCCGCTTGCCAATGTTTTAACCATAGTAAGCATCGTGCTGTGACATATGAGGAAATGGCCCTGGCTGAAAACTTGACCGCATGATAAGTTGCGTCAGCTGAGAATTCAGTGGCTGCTATAAGTTTTGCAATATCTTGGTGCGCTCTAATGTTGGAATTAGGGACATAAGAGATGGAGCCACCTGAGAGAAGCACAGGTAAAGAAGGAAGCGGCCATGGCCGCTCTGTTGGCCCATGCGTCAGACTGATGGGCCCTGCGTAAGGCAAGCTCGGCTCGTTTTTCCTCCGGCTTTAATGCCTCCAGCGCTTCACTGGGAATGGAGGACGAGGATGCTAATCCCACTATAGGTTCATCTACCTCGGGAGTATTCAACCATTTTGAGAAATCAGGGGCCAAATTAAAATATTTCCTGTCATATCCCATGGGGGCAGGGTACACCGCTGCAGACGCCCACTGTTTCTGTACCAGGTCTGAAAACATGTGAGGAACTGGAATCACATCTGCCTTGACTACCGGTTGGTTGAAAATTAGATCTTTTGGTCCCACTTCTGAAGGAGTTGGAGTGGTAGAAGGGGCCGACTTGTTCAGGTGTGCAATGTTTTTTGCCTTAAACAAAAGTGATCTGAATAGTTGTGGGCGGAATAATCCTGAAAATACCAGTTGATCAGGAATAAGGCCCTCATCCTCAGACATCCCACTTTCTAGGGGGTCTGCTTCTGACAGGGCCGGGTCACTGTCTTGTATTGATCCTGACCCAATCTGTTCCATTTGATCAATGTAATCCACTTCTTCTGCCTCCTCCTCCTCCTCCTGCGGCCCCTGGAGGGGCACGTACCCCTGAAACTGTACCTGGGTATAGTGTTGCTCCGATCTGGTCAACGACCTTAGAGATTGAGAATCATAGTCAGTGGTTACCGGGTGTTCTCTGGTCAGAACTGCGTGTTGAAGACCTGCTGCAATTCCCTGGTGGATTGCCAGCTCCATCCACGCCTTCATTCTCTCTGGAACTTCCTCTGGAAGAATGTCGTCCTGTCAAAGACCAGCAGCCGTCGGAGTGAATGTAGCTTCAGGAGCCCTTCGCGTGGTCTGTGTTCCAGGTAACTGGGCCTGTTGACTCTGGGAAACCAAGCAGTGTCTGGATGAGAGGGAGAGATCTAGGGGAGGAGGAGGATGGGAAGAGGTAGACGGTACTGGACTGGGGGGCAGAAGGTCCTGTGAGGCCCTGTGTGCCTCCCTTGCACACCTATCTATTTGCTTTTCTAATGCTTTATGGTGCCTGTTGGCATCCTTTTCTGAAGCTTTAGAATGACCTTTTGTCTGCTTGGATTTGTGCTGAGATTTAGCTTTGACCCTTGATGTTGAGGTCTGAGAGCTACTACCACCTGCCATTTTGAATGGAAAGAGATGCAGTATGCTCGTTATTCAAAGCGATACTGTCGAGGCGGTTGGCACGCCCAGGGGCTGATCCAAGAAGGGACCGGTTGCCCTGATAATATCTTATCCCCTTGTTTTGTTTTGTTTTTTGTTTTTTTTCAATTAAGATATATGTATATATAATATGAGTCGTATCACAGTAATAATATCTTTCCTTATTAAGATATTAATAGTGAATTTATTATTATTATTATTATTATTATTATTATTGGAGTGAATGAAGGTCACCAATATATAAATATAGATATAAATATGTATATATCTAAATTAATAGAGAAACAGCTTGATATAGTGAATATCCAAACAGCCAAATTAAGAACGCCTGAAAGGCCAAGATAATAAAGAGAGGCCTTCAAGAGCTTCCCTGCACAGGCGGACATGGGCCTGGGTGCTTGCTGTTGTGCTGCTGGGTAAGGCTGTGAGGGTTAAGCTAACAATAATACACGGATGGCCTCGAATCTAATAAGAAAACGAGGTGTAATAATTCCTTAGGTTATCAGAAGGAAAAACCTCTGATCGGGAAGGAAAACTACCTCACACAGCTCGAGTTACAAATAGCGCGGCCACGCAGTTTGTTTTTTTAAAGGCAAAAACAATGGCCATTATTTTTGGCGCACGCATGCTTCCCAGCAACAAACTCCCGCCGCGTGGGGAAATGCCTCTGACGGCTTCTCCTTGTGGCTAAAAGGAACAGCGGGGGAAGGGGTGGAAAGAGTTCTTACTGCTTTCCACACTAAGACGGCGTTCTGAGGGGAAAACTCAACGATACGATTCGGATGAGAGCGAAAATGCCCACGCCGCTATTGCCGATATAGAGAAAGGCAATGCGGAATCATAATGACAGGGGGTAGAACAAGCAGATGGGGGGGGGACTTGGAGCAATGCCAAAGCCGCCCGCCGCTTCAGGCGCGAAAGAGCGCTGCCCGAAAATGCAAATGATCTCTGACGACCAGATGGAGAGAGCTAACGTCGGGAGATCGTAAAGTGATTTGGAGGCTAAAAGCCTGAAAAAAACGAACTGGACTATATCCAAACCTGCTGAGTAATACTCCTGTTTCAGCCAAGGAAGAACAAAAAGCACTGCCTATCCACAACGAGGCTGAGCCAAAACTGGGGAACGCTGGGGAGGAGTCCCATGGAGGAGGAGGAGCGTTCCACAAATTAAGCCCAGCGTAGACATGCAGAGATTGAAGCACCTCCCACTACTGGATGCTCTGAACAGCTTATGGGAGAAATAACTAACTTCAATATATGACTAATAGTAGTATCAAACCTCTGACACCAATGTACAAGCAATGAAGCAAGATTCATATGGAATTCTACTAATTTGGTTTAATACCAGAAAATGAGGAGCAGGATAGAGAATCTTGGAAACCAAATAAGCAATCCTCCTCCTGAATTCAGAAATACAGACACATTAGAAAAGATCACATAATTGTGAACTGTTCATTATCACCAATGAAAGCTATAGAAACTATTAAAAGATTCTTCTTCACAGGGTATGGACAAATATATTTAAATCAGTGTTACTCATAAAAAATACTTCTTGTAAATCATACTTAATCACCCCACAATTACATAACTATACATTCAACTAATTTTTGTCTAATAGGAAGTTTTTGCTATCTGTTAGAAGGGGAGAAATCATTTTCAGTTATTTCCCCTCTTCCTGCTCTGATGGATTTGCAACTTTTTAAAAGGAACTGTGGAAGGCAATGAGGCCAAAGTGCAGTTTTCAGAATTTTCATTCCTTTCTTTTAAGGCATAAACTTCAACTGGATCAACAGAATCTTCCTTCAGCAGAGACACCAATTAAATAGAAGCAAACTATGAAAAAAGGCCAAGTGTACTGGCTGGTAGAATCAGGCGCCAAGCAACTGAGTTGTCTCTAATTTTAGAAACTAGTATGCCAAAGTCTATACCGTGGTAAGAGGCACACTACCAACTCTGTTGCCTAAAGTTGCTTTTCTTCCTTATTACCGTAATTTTTGTTCACTTGCTTTTTTCAACAATGGATGGGCAGCGAACAAAGAAAAATAGATGTAATGTCTGCGGGTTTTTTGCATTTTTATCTTCCTGTCAAGCAAAGAAGATAGGATAGAGAAGGAAGTGAATAGACAACAGCAACAATGGTGCAGAGAACAACCAACCAGGACCATCCTGAAGGCCTCACACATTTCATACCATTACTTGAGGCCAGTCTATTGACTTCTGTGGTGCCTCCTTCTCTTACTCAAGCTGCAGACTACAAGTGTTGGTCTGCATGTACTAATGAATCTTTCAGGAGAAAACATTCTTTCTCTTTACATATTAGTATATTCCATAACTAGTATTCTTAGATCTATGCTGATTATAAGAAAGGCATTTCTTTCTTCTCCAAGTAAAGCAAATACAAATTGGAGAGGTGGAAACCAAGTTTGAACTTAATGAATTGATTTCCATAATATTTAAGAAGCCAGTCCACATTGTCATGACGATATCAGAAATTAACCTACCATTATCCAAATGATTATTCAGCATTCTTCTTATCAAATGCCATAATACTTACGTTTTCACATTCCTCACACATGATAGTGCTGGTCAATTCACCCACAAAAATTCTGTCTATGAAATTCATCTTCACACCCTCTCTTCCATATGCTGGAAAAAAAGAACTTCTTTAAAAATTGTGCATCTCTATTCTAAATTTAGCAGAATTAATTCTAGAATTTATTTCAGAAAATATACATCCAAAGTAAGTTATAGTTTGCATCCCTCAGCGGAGGGTGGGGGGAGGAGGAAATCATACCAAAAATGCAAATACTTGGGTAGCCACCAGATGGCAATAAGAGGAAAGAAGTCACTGGATGTTTGCATCCAGATACAGTTTTATTATAAAAAACGAGTTATCTATGACTAAATTCAATTTTGGTTTTTATTTCATATGTATGTATGTATGTGTGTGTGTGTGTGTGTATATATATATATGTGTGTGTTTGTGTGTGTGTATGTATGTATATGTATGTATGTATGTATGTATGTATGTATGTATGTTATTCGGCTTGGTTCGGGTATTTTCCCACGTCATTGTAGTTGTTCTTTTAAAGTTGTAGCAACGTTTCAGCAGAATCTCATCTGCCATCATCAGGCTTCTGTATAGTGTTCATCTGTGATCAGACTTTTACAGTGGTTTCAGATTTAAATTTGGGGCAGCCTATTGCTGTGCCAGAATGGTTTTTTTTCTTCATCCTGATTGCTTGGGAGTCTTGGTCTGTGTTTATTGGTCTTGGAGTTTGCTGTGTTC